CTGCCATTAAAAAAAATAAGTATTTAGGAACCTAGTAAGTGAGCCATAATCATTGGACGAGATTTTGGAGCATTTTATGAATTTTAAAACACTATAATTTGTATATCTTTATGTTCCGGTTTTTACTTACACATTTTCGAATTAAGATTTCAATTTTACTCAAGAAGAGTAATATTGCATAAGAAACTATAAAGTGGATGATATTGTTAGATCCATTTAAACTCTAGCAGAATTTGCAAGAAATATATAACCACCAACAATGGCAATAATTCTTAAGTCTTATTATAACTTAACTTCATAGTTCACTTGAACTCTAGCTGAGTACAATCACCTGAAGTGGTTGTATTTCGTATATCTCGTTGTAACTAAATTTTGTTGACCACCAGAAGTGGTATATGCCTATGACCACTAGAAGTGGTACTTTAGGCTTGCTATGATTACAATGAAGATAAGTTAGAGAAAATTTCTCTATATTACATACATACCTTGATTTGCTCCTGAAGTAGCAAATATATTAAAAGAGGTCAGACACCATCACAATTTAATGTGGTTATTGCACGTTCAGATAATTATGTTCCATCACCTGAAGGAAGAGAACTTTTGATAATATTAATCCATTCCTTGAAGTGAATGTGACAATATTAATAAAGCTTGTAAATATGAACGCGCTCTTAATGTAAATATATTACGATTCACCTCCAGAAGAGGTAATATGATTGAGAGAATATATACTCAATATTTCGTATTTTAAATTTGCTCCTGAAATAGTAAAGCAATTGAATTTTTCTCCTCAAGCAGAAGATTATTATAAAATTGTGTCTTTCTGTGCTTAAATAAATTAATGAGCTATTCAAAGTTATTTTTGGAGCACATTTTCATTCCCTGGAGTGAATGAAGAAATACCACAACTCACCTTCTGAAGATCTATAATAACAGAGGATATAAATTTTAATATTTTGGCATAAATGTCACGACTCAAAATCCCACCACAGGCGTCGTGATGGAACTTAGTCTCTAAGACTAGGTAAGCCGATTACAATTATATTTCAAGCCTTTTTTTTAAACATAAGTTTAATACAAGTGTCAAAACCAAAAGCGAAATAACTATAAAAATCTCCCAAGACTGGTAGTACTGAATCACGAACTCAACTGATTACATGCAATGATCTCAAAGATCGATTATACAATACTGTTCGAATAAGAGTGACATTACAATAAAAAAAAATAGAAAGACTCCAAGGGACTGCGATGACCAAGCAGCCTTACCTTGAATCCTTGCGATCACACTCTAATCTCTATCCGAATCCGATATCTTCAATACCTGTCTTTGCACAAAAATGTACAGAAGTGTAGTATGTGTACACCACAGTCGATATCCAGTAAGTATCAAGACTAACCTCGGTGGAGTAGTGACGAGGTACAGTCAAGACACTCACTAGTCATTTAACATGTGCAATATAATAATATACATGGATAATAGAAAACAAATAGCAGTGATGGTAACAAAGACCAATCAGGGATATGAACGTCAAGGTAACAAGAACACCATAAATATTGCTCAGATGAATAAGGAACACAAGTACAACCAATTAATCAAGCCCTTCAAATATTAATCTTTCACATATAAGTTTTTCAAATAAAAATATTTCGAATATAATTCCTTCGAATAAATAATATCCTTCGAGTATAGTTCTTCCAAATAAAAGTCATTCTGTGACACCTCATTTTATAATCATAAAACACGGGTCTCAGCCCACTTTCATATTTTCATGGCACCTCGTGCCCATATCTCTATTACAACCGCACGGACAGCTCACGTACCAAAATATCAATGTATATAAGATCTGCATGATCAATTTATTTTCAATAAAGTAAGTTTACAATTTTTAAACCAAGTAAGAAATCAACAAAGAAATGAGTTTATTTTTGAACTCGTTTGGGTGAAGAAAATGACATTTCAATTAAAATAAAGCATCTGATAGCTACCGATTTGGATGTAAAATTTATTAAATTAAAACAGAATAGCAATTTCTTTTATTCGAAACAACTCAAACCTCGAAAACCAGTAAAAATCAGAAATACAAATCCTCATAGTCTTGTACAAAGAGCTAAAGTCAACACAATACAACAAGAAATACAAAACACATAATAAAATCAAATAATAAATCACGGAAGAACACAAAAATTTACATATCACGGAAAAACAAAATAACCAAAGGTAAGTGCAGCCATAGAGAAATTTCAACAAAGGGCACTCCTGAGGTACCGCCTCGTAGTCCCAAATCATAAATAAATTTTAACAAAGGGCACTCACGAGGTACCGCCTCGTAGTCCTAAATCATAAATAAATTTTAATCTTTCCTTATATCACCGCGGGAGCCTTCACATTTAGTTTTTAAAATTATTTTTCTCGAAAATAGCATCCCGCATTTTAGCCACCCTTATCACACCGCATGACTTCTAGTAGTTCCCTTACTAGCCACGCGTATCAAGCCCCCCTTATCTCACTGCATGCATTTCAACACCCAGACCTTATACCACCGCATGCATATTAATATCACAATTCGTAACTCAAGTGCCCGATTATCACAGCATAACACAACTTGCACCTCAAATGCTCAAATATCACAACATATAAAAAAATGCACACCAAGTGCTCAAATATTACAACATATCAAAAATTGCACATCAAGTGCTCAAATATTACAACATATCAAAAATTGCACATCAAGTGCTCAAATATTACAACTTGCCACAGAAATTAACAATACATTATTTTCTACAATAAGGAGCCCATGGCTCGACCATAATGTGCACAAAATCTTAACAAAATATCCGGGAGTGAACAACTCAGCAAAATAATATTTCACAATTTAACACTTTGTCTCAATATGATTTACGGCTTTTATAACACAATACAAAGTTCAACAACATGAACTGGAGAGTAATTCATCAAGGAACAACGCCTTCTTTAATCCAATTTTTCGGCAAATAGATTGTTACCTCATTTTAAAACTTATTTAATAAATTATTTGCAGATGAAAAATCCATAATGTAATTATTTTCAGGAAATGTCAATTCAATAAGCACACAAAATTTACATAAAAATCAAAGTAGCAATCACACCAAATTATCATATAAAACAAATTCGACAACCAAAGAATGAGGCATGACAAATAAGGATTAATAAGTGCCAGTAAATTTCCAATGTAATACATAAAAATGCCTAAGACTTTAAACCAATAAAATTTGCACATATAAGCCCGAGTACGTACTCGTCACCTCGCGTACACGGCTTTCACATTACACAAATGGCAAATACGACTCAATGCCTAAGGGGTAATTCCTCCACTCAAGGTTAGGCAAGATACTTACATTTTTTAAGTTATGTCGATATTTCAAAATAGCTTTCTTGCTTGAATTGACCTTCAGATAGCTCAAATCTATCCAAATTGATTGTATAACTTCATTAAAATTTATCGGAAATAATTTCGGATAATAAAACGTCAACTTAAAATTTTGCATTAAAAAGTCAACCAAAAGTTCACGCGGGGCACGCTTCTCGGAACCCGGTTGAATTTTTTACGAAATTCGAATACCCATTTCGATACGAGTTCAACCATATCAAATTTACCAAATTCCGATAACGAATCAACCTCCAAATCTTAAATTTTCGTTTTAAAAAGATTTTACAAAAAAATCATTTTCTTCCAATTGATTCACTAATAAAAGATGAAAATAATCATAGAATCATGAAATATAATAAAAATCGAGTAGGAAACACTTACCCTAATCGTGCAGATCTTGTTAGTTAAGCAGATGCAGGTTATATATTTGATCCCTATAAAGCTCGATCCCAAATCGATTACGTGTTTACATGTGGAGCAAGTAGGGAATGCGTATGGTTGAAATCAGCGATTCATTTCATTTGCGAAAAATATGGTTTGGAATGTGATAGAAAGCCCACGATTTTATACGAATACGATGCTGCATGCATAGCCCAATTGAAGGGAGGATTTATAAAAGGAGATAGAACGAAGCACATTTTACCAAAATTATTCTACGCACATGATCTTCAGAAAAATAGTGAGATTGATGTGCAATAAATCCGTTCAACTGAAAATCAGGCAGATTTGTTCACCAAGTCTTTGCCAACTGCAACCTTCAAGAAGATGCTATATAAGACTGGAATGGAGAGACTTATGTATTTGAAATAACGTCTTTATGAGGGGGAGTAAAGTATGCATTGTACTCTTTTCTTCTTACCCAGGTTTTTTCCCATTGGGTTTTTCTGGTAAGGTTTTTAATGAGCCAACTTGCAATGTGTATTATTAGTGTACTCTTTTTCCTTGACTATGGCTTTTTTCTACAGGGTTTTTCCTAGTAAAGTTTTAACGAAGCATTTAATAATGAACATCCAAGGGGGAGTGTTATGAAAATATTATTGTGGATGCCCATTTATTACTCCGCCGAAGATAATCTTCCTGAAGAAGATTATCCATTTAGTACTCTATTGAAGTTTATCTACAAGCAACTGATGCAGGCAGGTTGCAAGCAACTCAATAAAATGACTTGCAGCACCTTAGTATTAAAAAGGTAGGTTGCAAAAAGCTCATATAGACAGCTTACAAGCAACTCAAGAAGTGTCTCGCAGCTTGCAGGTGCTTCCTGAAAAGCCTCGCAGTTGCTTTCTTTTATTCTATAAATAAAAGAGATTTCAGTTCATTATGTACATCAATTTGAATTTGAATAATATATCAATCTCTCTCTATAGTCTATACTTGTCTTCAGTTTATTTACTTTACAGATTTTATTTTATAATAAAAAACCATTTGATCGCCGTTACTATAAAAAAGGGAATTAAGATATTTTTATCTTAAAAAAATTAATTTTCTTACTATTGTTCAAAAGTACATTTCTATTTAGATCAAAGACCTCATATTTCATATAAATACTTTTTATATTTTTGACAAAAAATACTTTTGACCTCCTATCTTTGTCACACAGGTTCTTAGTGCTAAAACCCCAAACATCCCCCTAAAACCTAAAGCACTCCGTCCTCTTCCCTTTTCTTAGTTCTTTGAATTTTTTTTCTTTTCTTGGCGAAGTGAGGTTAAGGAGGTGAATTGGTAAAGAAATGACCTGTATCTCTCTCTGTATTGGAGCTACTACTGCATTAAAGTTTGTAAGCAATTGCCAAAACCATTCAGCGAAGCTGTTCTCTGCAAACCAACAACGTTTTTTCAACCTCAGTTCCGCCAGTTGGAATTGTTCCAATTTTTCAGTTCGTCATACTTCTTGCCGTGGTTTTAATACTCACAAATCTTTCTCCACTGTTTTCAATAGCCTTTCTGTGGATAATGGCAACCCCAGTAAGAACTACTAACTCCAGTTTTATCTTTCCAATGTCTGAGAAATTGGGTTTTTTGCTTTTTTATTTTTTTCAGTGTTATCTCCTAAAGCAGTTAGCTTTACTTACTTTGCTTCTCTTATTTGGTTCTTTCCGCTTTTGAAAGCTATTTTTTGTACTCTGTTTGGCTAAAATTTTAGCAATTATATGTCTTGGGTAGTTCAGATTCTCAATTATTCTGCTTATTCTAAAGTGATTCTATTTTTTTTATCTCACTGAATGGATATGTTAATGCGTGCTTCTTGCGTTTTGATTTTCATTTCTCTTTAGAGTAAAATGGAATTTGAGTTCTTATTCATTAGTTTGGAATTGCCATCATGCCATGTAGTGCCAAAAGGTTTTTATGTTTTTTTATGTTAAAGCATCAATTCTTTTGGTTTTATTATTTATCTGGCACAGACTAGCTATTTGACTAGCATAATTAGCACAGTTGATATGGTATAATGTAGAAGCCGGTATAATTTTTAGCATTATTTATTGATTCATTCTATTTGGTATTATAGAGGAAAGGGTGGTTGTCTTGGTAATTGGAGGAGGAGGGAGAGAGCATGCGCTCTGTCATGCTCTAAGGCGATCCCCTTCTTGTGATGCAATTTTCTGTGCACCTGGTAATGCTGGAATTTCCAGCTCAGGAGACGCGACTTGCATAGCAGACCTTGATGTTTTAGATAGTTCAGCTGTGATAGTTTTCTGTCGTAAATGGGGAGTTGGGCTAGTTGTTGTTGGACCAGAGGCTCCGCTTGTTGCAGGTCTTGCTAATGACCTCGTTAAGGAGGGAATTCCTACCTTTGGCCCCTCTTCAGAAGCAGCTGCTTTAGAAGGTTCTAAGAACTTTATGAAGAGTTTATGCGATAAATATGGAATTCCAACTGCAAAGGTTTGTGCTATATATCTTGTTTCATTTATATTTGCTTGTTCTTTTTAATAAAAATATATTACTAGTCATGATACTTGGCTTTTCTAGTTATTTGGTTCAATTCATGTCTTGATTTGACTTCATCTATGGTGGCTATAATTGTGTAGTATCAAGCATTTACGGACCCATCCGCTGCAAACGAGTACATCAAACAGGAAGGCGCCCCCATTGTTGTCAAAGCTGATGGATTGGCTGCTGGTAAAGGAGTTATTGTTGCCATGACATTGGAGCAAGCATATGAGGCGGTTGATTCTATGCTTGTGGAAAATGCTTTTGGTTCTGCTGGTTCTCGAGTCATCGTAGAGGAATATCTGGAAGGAGAGGAAGCATCGTTTTTTGCCCTGGTAGATGGTGAGCATGCCATACCTTTAGAATCTGCTCAAGACCACAAACGAGTTGGGGACGGCGATACAGGACCAAATACTGGTGGGATGGGGGCATATTCTCCGGCTCCTGTCTTGACAAAAGAACTGCAATCAGTGGTCATGGAGTCTATAATTTTCCCTACAGTAAAGGGAATGGCTGAAGAAGGCTGCAAGTTTGTCGGGGTTCTGTATGCCGGGCTCATGATTGAGAAGAAAACTGGTTTTCCGAAGTTAATTGAGTACAATGTGCGCTTTGGAGATCCAGAATGCCATGTTAGTTGGATTTGCTTGCCACTTGCAATCAAACTTGTTATTTTCGTATTGAAAGTTGTGTTAGTACCATAGATCTTTGTTTCAAGTTAAGCATAGGGAAGCACTGGAAGCTTTAGCTATTTCATTTTGTATATGATGAATATGTTTGTTTGAAACATACTGCTTTCTATTGATCACATGACGTGGCACTTGCTAAGTAGTCTTTCAGCAGCAATAGATGCACTGCAGAGTAACATATACTTTCATTCTTTCGTGAAAAAGAATTATCACTATTGTGTCCTACAAGTGAAAAATACTGCTAAATCGGTTGAAAATCACTTGTGTGGGAAACTGATTGGTTTCAGAGGTGGATAATAGCGATGCTTTTGCAAGGTGAGCTGGTGCTGTTCTTCCAGTTATGGACTTAAATATCTGATCTTTAATATGATTTATAGTCTTTTGGCATTCCTATTTGGATAACGAGTTACTATTGCCTCTTTACATATCCTCTTTCAAGTTGTTGCCATATTACTTGCAATCTGTTCATGTTAGAGTATCTCTCCTAGGGTGTTTGGTTTCATCGCGTTTTTATCGAAGTGTGGTTGCTATTATTTTTTATGGATCATGTCACGACCCGAAATTCCCACCTTCGGGACCGTGATGCCGCCTAACATTTCACTTGCTAGGCAAGCCAACGTTAGAATATAATTAACTATTTTAACACAATTTTAAATTAATTAATGCAGAAATAAAGTCTGAAATAAAGTGAATAATCCATAATAAACGCGATATCTAAATACCATCCCAGAACTGGAGTCACAAGTGCACGAGCTTCTAGAATAATACAAATAAAGGTCTGAATAAAATAAAGCTGTCTGAAAGAAAACACGTAGCTAAAATAAAGTAGACGGGGACTTCAGAACTGCGGACGCTATGCAGCTATACCTCAAGTCTCCTCTGGGTAGCTGAAATTTGAGCAAGTCTATGGTACGCCGCTGGGACCAATTCCGAAATCTGCACAAGAAGTGCAGAGTGTAGTATGAGTACAACCGACCCCATGTACTCTGTAAGTGCCGAGCCTAACCTCGACGAAGTAGTGACGAGGCTAAGGCAGGTCGCTTACATTAACCTGTACACAATAATAATAATAATAACAAGAATAGTAGTAAGACCGGTAAATAATATCAATAATTGAAGTCAAATTCAGCAGTCATAATCCCTCAACTTGTTTCCATTGCGGCGTGCAACCCGCTCCAACAATATAAACTTAGAATAAATCTGTTGCGGCGTGCAACCCGATCCCCCAATATATTTATTTTCATTTCCGTTGCGCCGTGCAACCCGATCCCCCCATATATTTTACCAACTCTTAAATGTAATAAACATACTCCAATAAATACTACGTTCAATAAGAAACTATTAAGCATCAAGGCATACAATAATTATAATTTATTTATGAAACAAACAATGACAAGTAGCAATTAATTGTGGAAATCAGGGAGAAAATAGGCAGTTTAATTTTTAATATGCTAAATGTCAAGTAGCAATTAAGACACATAATCAAATAAGCATGTAACAATTATTGCAGGAATTCAAGAATTAATATTTGACAAGGAATATGAGAGAAACAATTATTATAACAATTAATTCGTGTCTTAAAACAATTTAAGATGTTTAAATAATTAAGCAAACAATTAATTTGACAAAGTATAGGCACTCGTCACCTTGCCTATACATCGTTACACATGAAATTCACATAGCAAGTAATTCAAGGGTTCTATTCCCTCAAGTCAAGGTTAACCACGACACTTACCATGCTTTGCAACGAAATTCAAGAATCCAATAAACTTTTGCCTCACGAATTCGTGTCCGAAATTCTCAAATCTAGTCATAAACAATTTAATATACTCAATACAAATCGTAGGAATTAATTCCATATGAATTTACTAATTTTCCGGATTAAAATCCAAAATTCATCCCAAAAATCGACAGTGGGGCCCACATCTCGAATCTCGTAAAAACTTACGAAATCCAAACACCCGTTCCGAGACGAGTCTAACCATACAAAAATTACCAATTCCGATGTCAAATGGACCTTCAAATCTTAATTTTCCGTTTTTGGAAAGTTTTACAAAAAATTCAATTTCTTCCATCTAAATCCGAAATAAATGATGAATATAGACATGGATTTATGAAATATAATCACTCTTGGTTATAAAACATTTACCCAATTCAAAGTCGTGAAAAATCCCTTTGAAATCGCCTAAATCCGAGACTCAAAACTCAAAAATGAGTAAAAATGGCTAACTCCCGATTTTTAAGCATTATGTCCAGCATTTTTGTATCTGCGGTCATATTTTCGCATTTGCGAGAAAAATCTCGCATTTGCGAAATGGGCTTGCACAGCGTTTGTCCGCATCTGCGGAACTTGAGCCGCAAATGCGCAGAAGCGCATGAAGGAGCCGCAGAAGCGGTGCCTTCCGCATTTGCGAAGGCCGAGCCGCAGAAGCGATGCCGCACCTGCGCTCCAAAAGTCGCAGGTGCGAAACACCAGAACCAGAACTGGTAGTTTTTGCAAAAATGATCAGAAACATGTCCGAAACTCACCCGAGCCACTCGGGACCTCGTCCAATTATCCCAACAAGTCCCGTAACATAATACGTACTTACTCGGGGTCTCAAATCACATCAAACAACATCGAAATTACAATTCACACCTCGATTCGAACTTAAGAGTTTCAAACTTTTCCATTTACCAAAACTTGTGCCGAAACATGTTAAATGAATCCGGAATGACTTCAAATTTGGCACACAAGTCATAAATGACATAACAGAGCTATTCAATTTTCCAGAATCAAATTCCGACCCCGATATCAAAAAAGTCAAATTCGTGGTCAAATTTTGGAAATCTTTAGCCTTTAAATTTCTAGTTTCCGTTAAATGGCCATTACTTGAGCTAGCGACTTCCAAATTAAATTCCCGGCTCAAAACACTGATCCGGGTCCGTTTGCTCAAAATGTTGACCAAAGTCAACTCAGTTGAGTTTTAAGGCTCTATTTCACATTTTAATCAATTTTCATCTAAAAACTTTCCGAAAAATTATACGGACTGTGCACGCAAGTCGAGGAATGATAAATAGTGTTTTTCGAGTTCTTAGAACACAAAATTAATTATTAAATTTAAAGATGACCTTATGGGTTATCACAGATCAGAAGTATGGTTGCTATCATACTATCTTAATTGATAGACTTAGTTTACTATGGACCCTCATAGTTCCTATTTAATTGCATCTAAAGATGTAGTTTGGATAGCTGAATAAGGGATCAAGTGAACATTTGATTGAACCTTTCTTGGATAATTATTAATCCTAAAGAGTTACTGATAATTTTTTACGTATGCTAGGATAGAAATTGAGTACAGTGTAGTGAGAGAGGTGATTCCGAGACTCTCCTGTGTTCCATAACAACAAACCCAGTGTAATCCGTGGGTCTGGGAAGTTTTCCGGAAGGCGAATATATAAAGAGTGATTAAATCACAACTACTATATCTAAAGGTAGCTAATAAATAGGAGGTGGGACAATAATAAAAAGAACACCAGAAATTAACGAGGTTCGACAAAATTTGATTTTTGCCTAATCTTCGGACACAATCAACTCAAACTTTATTTCACTCCAAAAATACAAGTGAAATACTACAAGAGAGAAAGAAGATTCAAATGCCTTAGGAGATAAGAAGGCAAGTGAGAGATGTTTTACAAATGAACAAAATCCTTGCTATTTATAGAAGGGAAATGGCCTTAATAATGCCATGCATGACATCATATTAAGTGTGATAATGCAATGTAAATGCATGAAAAATGCATCTACCAATTTCTTCCTAAAAGGAGGCTTCAAATGTTCACACTAATTCACATTAATCTTGTCAAATTCAACAAATCTCCACCTTGGTAAGATTCCATTTTTTTCAATTTTCTCACTGATAAATTTTGATTGTGTCTTCAACTTCAATCTTCAAAGTTCAACAATGTTGATCAAGTTCAAACAATGTTGAAACTTGATCGCAGTCACTACTTTTGTTAGCATATCGGCAGGGTTGTCTGTAGTCCAAATTTTCTGCACCATGACTCCACCTTCTTCTATAATATCTCGTACAAAGTGATATCGAACATCAATGTGCTTCGTCCTTGCATGATAAACTTGGTTCTTTGCTAATTGGATAGCACTCTGACTATCACAAAATAGTGTGATGTTTTCTTGACCAATACCAAGCTCTCTAAACAACCCTTGAAGCCAAATTGCCCCCTTTACAGCCTCCGAAATTGCTATGTACTCTGCCTCAGTAGTAGACAAAGCAACCGTTGACTGCAAAGTAGATTTCCAACTAACTGGTGCATTTGCAAAAGTGAAAACATAACCAGTAGTTGATCTACGCTTGTCCAAATTACCCGCATAATCCGAGTCACAATATCCAACCAGATACTGACTATCTTCCTGCTCAAAAATCAATCCAACATCTACAATATTACGAATATACCGTAGAATCCATTTCACAGCTTGCCAATGCTCTTTTCCTGGATCATGCATATACCTGCTTACAATTCCAATAGCATGTGAAATATCAGGTCTTGTGCAAACCATTGCATACATCAAGTTACCAACGACATTCGCATATGGCACTCTTGACATATACTCTCGTTCAGCTTCATTCTTCGGCGACATAGCAACACTAAGCTTAAAGTGAGGAGCAAGAGGAGTGCTAACCGACTTCGTGTTCTCATTCATGCCAAATCGATCTATTACTCTCTTCAAATATTCTTTATGAGATAGATAGAGTTTCTTTGAATGTCTATTTCTTTTTATCTCCATGCCAAGAATTTTCTTCGCCTTACCCAAATCCTTCATCTCAAACTCCTTTCTTAGTTGAATCTTCAACTTCTCAATTTCCTCTTGACTTTTGGAACCTATCAACATATCATCAACGTATAGGAGAAGATATATGAAGGATCCGTCTTCAAGCTTGCGCAAATACACACAATGATCGTATTTGCTTCTTCTGCACTTCTGCCGCAACATAAACTTGCCAAATCGTTTGTACCATTGTCTAGAAGATTGTTTCAATCCATACAACGATTTTTCAAGTTTGCACACCATATTTTTCTTTTCAGCAACTTTGAATCCTTCTGGCTGAGTCATATAGATTTCCTCTTCCAAGTCTCCATGTAAAAATACAGTTTTTACATCTAACTGAACTAGTTCCAAATTCAACTGTGCTACCAAAGCCAACAAAACTCTAATGGAGGAGTGTTTCACGACTGGAGAAAACACCTCATTGTAATCAATTCCCTCCTTTTGAGCGTACCCTTTGGCCACCAATCTTGCTTTGTAGCGAACATCTTCTTGGTTAGGAAATCCTTCTTTCTTTGCAAATACCCATTTGCACCCAATTGCTTTCTTGCCCTTCGGGAGATTGGCCAATTTCCATGTACGATTCTGACGAAGGGACTGCTTTTCTTCATTCATGGCAATCCTCCACTTAGCTTCTTCTGAACTTTGGACTGCGTCTTTATAAGTGGTAGGAACACCATCAGCTATAATTGAGGCTGCACAAGCCACCGTCTCTATGAGACGAACAAGTTTCTTTATTGTTCTTTTTGGCTTGCTGGTTGCTATTGATTCAAGTTGTTGTTGAGGTTCCTGAGTTGAAATCTCCCTCTCTACTGGCTCTACTTCCAGAGGAAAATCTTCTGTTGTTTCCTCGTTTTCTCCCTGTGTTGGGAAAATTAATTTTTCCTCAAACTCCACCTGCTTTGAAGCATCATCAGTTTGTTTGACAGCTTTAACTGTCACCTTATCTGTTATGGCAGATTCATCAAAGGTAACATCTCTGCTGAATATAATTTTTCTCGTCTCTGGACACCATAATTGGTATCCTTTGACTCTAAAAGTAATCCCCATAAATATAGCTTTCTTTGCTCTCGGATCCAATTTTGACTCTTTCACATGATAGTATGCAATTGAGCCAAACACATACAAAAAATTATAATCTTCAGAAGGTTTTTCATACCATTTTTCAAATGGTGTCTTGCCACCAATAGCGGCAGATGGTAGACGATTAATGAGGTGGCATGCATATGTTATTGCCTCAGCCCAAAATTCTTTGCCCAAGCCAGCATTGGACAACATACACCGAACCTTCTCTAGCAAAGTCCGGTTCATACGTTCTGCCACTCCATTCTGTTGTGGTGTATTTCTGACGGTGAAATGTCTCAAAATGCCATAATCTTGACAAATCTTATTGTAAAGATCATTTTTTATTCTCCACCGTTATATGTGCGAAGACACTTTATCTTTCTGTCTGTTTAAGTCTCTATCATCGCATTTCATTTGAGAAAAATTCCTAGCACCTCATCTTTGGTTTTCATAGTATACACCCATACTCTCCGGGAAAAGTCATCAATAAAGGTTACAAAATAGTGTTTCCCACCTAATGAAGGTGTTTTGGAAGCACCCCAAACATCAGAGTGAACATAATCCAAAATACCTTTAGTATTATGGATAGCAGTTCCAAATTTAACCCTTGTCTGTTTCCCCTTGACACAATGCTCACAAAACTCCTAATTGCAAGTCTTTACTCCTTTTAACAATCCTTGATCTGATAAAATTTTCAAGGATTTTCCTCCAGCATGTTCCAAGCGCATGTGCCATAGCTTGGTTGCTTCTGCCTCCTTGTCATCACTGGATGTCACTGTTGCTGTCCCAATAACTCCTTGTCATCACTGGATGTCACTGTTGCTGTCCCAATAACTGTACTACCGTGATAGTGGTACATGTTATTATTTTGCCGAATTCCCTTAATTACCACTAGTGCACCGGAGCATATTCTCATTATCCCATTTTTTGCAACGACTTTGAGCCCCTTTTACTCTAGGGCTCCTACAGAAATGAGATTTTTCTTCAATTCCGGTACGTATTGAACATCTGTTAATGTTCTGATCAACCCATCATGGTTCCTTAATCGGATTGAACCAATACCATATGCGGTAAGAGGATTGTTATTTGTGGTGTGAATAACTCCCCATTCTCCTTCTTGAAAATCAACGAACCAGTCCCGGTTGGGACACATATGATAGCTACAAGCTGAATCCATCAACCATATGTCACATGGTTTGAATGGCTCAGTTGTAACTAGTTAGAAATCAGAGTCGTCACAATCATCTACATTTGAATCCATGACGGCCTTCCCATTGTTAGGTTTGGCCTTGTTTTTCACCTTTGGACAGTCTTTCTTCCAGTGCCCCTTTTCTCGGCAAAAGGCGCATTCATCTTTGTTGGGTCTGAATCTTGACTTGGATCTTCATTTCTTCGTTCTCATATGATTTTGAGAACAACCTCTCATGACCAGTGCTTCTCGTTCTCCACTCTTTTTGTTTTTCTCTCTTTCTTTGTTCATAGATGTACAAGTTAGAACAAACTTCTTTGAGAGACACTTCATCATTCCCATGAAGTAGAGTAGTTTCGAGGTGCTCGTACTCATCGGGAAGTGAACTTAATAACATTAAAGCCATATCTCCATCACTAAAAGTCGCGTCCATATTTTGCAAATCTGTCGCCAACTTATTAAAGCTGGTGATATGATCATTCATTGTAGTACCAGGAACATATATAAAGCGTAACAGTCTTTTTTTCATGTAAAGTTTATTTTGATTGTTTTTTTTCAAGAATTTATCCTCCAATGCATTCCACAATTTACTTGCAGAAGATTCTTTTGTGTATGGATACTTCTGTTCTCTTGCGAGGTAAGATCAAATGGTACCACAAGCAACGCGGTTGATAATCTTCCAATCTCCTTTTGTCTGGTTTCGTTTCTGCTATGGCAATATCTAGCCCTTGTTGAAAAAGGACATCAAGAACCTCAGCTTGCCACATCCCAAAATGTCCTGATCCATCAAAAATTTCAACTGCAAATTTCGCATTTGACATAATTCTTGTCATCAGCGAAGATGCCAATGACGTATTACTGACACTCGATGTGGACTCTTCATTTTTATTATCTTCTATTTTTGCTACAGATACTATTTATTTGCTGACAGTACAGAACACCAAAGTAATTCTTTTCTGATGTGGAAGTTCAGACTATGCTGCAACCACAGAGCATACTAAGATAGAACCTTGGCTTTGATACCAATTGTTGCGGAAGCCGAATAATACAGAGAGTGATTAAATCACAACTACTATATCTAAAGGTAGCTAATAAATAGTAGGTGAGACAATAATAAAAAGAACACTAGAAATTAACGAGGTTCGGCAAAATTTGATTTTTGCCTAATCCTCGGACACAATCAACTCAAACTTTATTTCACTCCAAAAATACAAGTGAAATACTACAAGAGAGAAAGAAGATTCAAATGCCTTAGGAGATAAGAAGGCAATTGAGAGATGTTATACAAATGAACAAAATACTTGCAATTTATAGAAGGGAAATGGCCTTAATAATGTCATGCATGACATCATATTAAATGTGATAATGCAATGTAAATGCATGAAAAATGCATCTACCAATTTCTTCCTAAAAGGAGGCTTCAAATGTTCATACCAGTTCACATTAATCTTGTCAAATTCAACAGGGAGGGTAGTGTATACGCAACCTTACCCTCCTGTGTTCCATATTGCTGGGATATCACTTTTCAAAGAGTCCAAAAAAAAATTAATGGATGGATGGTTTTGTGTTCACTTGGGTGTGCATATTGGTCTATTTAAAGCAACAACTATTGAGTTAGTTCGTCCTATAACTGTGTCCTATGTTTTGTGTATTGAAGGAAGGCAAAATTGTAGGGAATGGTACTTCTTGGTCACAGAAAGAGCAGAAGTTTGATTTGATGTACTTCTCTTTTTTTGATGTTTGGCTACCCTATTCAACTATAGCTGGCAAACTTTTCTGGTTACTTCTTTGGAGGTTTTACATGGAACGTGATGCAAAAGCACGTAATGGAAATAGGAGCGAGTTCTAATTGTGCTTAATGTAAATACTCTATCCCATATTGTAGTTTGAAACTCTTTTTCCTATGGTTGCAGGTGTTGATGGTCCGGTTAGAGTCTGATTTGGCCGCAGTTCTGTTGGCAGCTTGTCGTGGGAAGCTGCGTGGGGTGTCTTTGGACTGGTCCCATGGGTCAGCGATGGTGGTTGTAATGGCAAGTAAAGGCTACCCCGGGAGCTACCAGAAAGGAACGGTCATCCATAAGCTTGAGGAAGCAGAGCAGGTTGCTCCGTCAGTCAAAGTTTTCCACGCTGGGACTGCTTTTGATGCAGATGGAAATTTCATAGCTACTGGGGGACGTGTTCTTGGAGTCACAGCGAAAGGGGAGGATCTTGAAGAGGCGCGAGATAGAGCCTACCAAGCCGTTGAACAAATTAGCTGGCCTGGAGGTTTTTATAGACGAGATATTGGTTGGAGAGCACTATCTCAGAAACAATATTCTTAAGGGTGAACTCCTATAATTGTATGTTACATATGGAGGGAGTATGATAACATTTTTGGAGCGTGATATGGATATCAGCTTATTGATCGTATCAGACAACTCATCTGGCATGGTGTTTGATCGGACTGAAGTATCTATAATGGAGCCATCCAATGTTAGACTAAATGAAAAGATCCGGGAATAGATTGAAAACCTTGGATTAAGAATAGAACACTTTAACCATAATAAGTGTTTATTTTTTTCTGGAATGAGTATGATTAGCTGCAATGTGTTATATGCACATATGATTTTGTAACTTAATAATCTAGTTGGATCGCTGTACTTCTTTGTTTACGGAGTAGACTTTGATATGATTCTCTATTGTATATTTTGATGTCATATGGTTAATCTGAGTGAACAAAATTCCATACTAAACTCGTAGAGAGAGCCCTATTAAACTAAAGTTGTATTGCAACAGGGAGGACGGATTGGATAGAGGAACGGCCAAGCATTTCGCATATATGACTACAAGTTGTATATTTTTAGAGTCTTATGATGCGTGTATACACGACGCCTGGTAAAAGCTTGAGGTGTGTCAAGGATACTGTCCTTAAGGATATTTCGCCCACATTAATGATAAATAAAATTAGGGATATCCCCGAGATTCAACAAGCTCTTTCAGTTATAAACTGGGAATATAACTAGCAGAAAATTCAATAAAGAAAACCAACATAGAAGAAGGAGGAGAAATAGAATGGAGAGATGGAAATAATTGTTATTGTTCACAACAGTGCCATGTATAGGTGTTGGAAATAATTGTTATTGTTCACAAGAGTGTCATGTATAGGAGGAAGAAGTTTGAAAAAAAGTCTCTTTAGCTCACCAAAATCCATGTATATATAGGTCTTGCTCCAACTGCTAAATAACGGCTAGTTTCCAAGGGCTAGTTAACAGAGGCGGATCCAGGATTTCGAGAACATGAGTGCACCATTGATACTTCAGGAAAACTAAAATAAAGGGATGCGTTACTGTTAAAAAAAAGGAAAAGAAAGGCTTAAAAATAAGAAATTAAAGCAGTAATTTTGAAGGGATTCGATCTCATGACCTTAAATTAGCAAGAAATAAGTGGCCAAAACCAATGAACCACTTTGCCTCTTTTGACCATGGGTGCCATCAAGTAATATTTAAGTCATTTTTCGCAAATTATGTACATAATATATTTGATATGGTTGGAGGACCACGGGTTCACGTGAACCACGATTTACACTGTGGATTCGCCCCTACTAGTTAACGGCTAATTTCTAATATCTAGTTTGTAACGGCAAATTTTACTATTTCAGGAGGAGAGAAAGTAGATAAAAATAAATTGTCGCTCAGGGGTGGAACAGTGTTAAAGGGCAAGGTTGGGCGCAATGCCAGCCTTGGGTGTGCAATAGCTGGCCAAAACAAGCATATGCAATGCATATGACAAGGCAGTTGAGCGGTTACAACTGCCCCATCCAAGCATGACTGATCATGGGGCTACGTTTTTTTTTATCATGACTGATCGTGTGGCTTAGTGATACACGTTTTTTAGCATGTTCCTCATGTTTTCCCATAAGTTGGGGCTTGTCAACTGATTGCTTTAAATGCTGCCAAGTGTAATTGGGCAGTCTGCACTATAAATATATGCATAAGGTTGTCTCAAAGGAGCAAAAACTTAGTCTTATGGCAAAGTGTTAGCCAAAAACGTCTAAGTGTAATTCCTAAGGGTGGGAAATTCGTGTTGGGGCAGGGAACTAGGGAGTTCTTTGTTCTTGGCCATAGGGTTGGCTTTTTGGTGTTCTTGTATTCACATATAATACGAGTTGGGAAGAAATTCCTGTAAATTTCGTGTGTGCCTTTACTTTTCTTGCTACCTTAATTTTTCTAAGTCCCAAACGTCCCTAAAATAATTCTAAGTGTTGGAAAGGCTGAAGTCAAGGCTGAGCTTGACTGCCGCATGGTGATGAACCCCGGGTAGAATTTGAGCGACATAAATCACCCCTGTGACACTTAGTATCAAGCAGATCAAAGCACATCCTTCCAATTGTGACCTGATAGCATTATTTCCACTAACGTTACCAGGCAACCAATTTTTTTACATCTTAGAAAAAATTAAACATATCTGCATTTGAAAGGAATAAAGTACCCTAATCTGAACGAGTCCATATGCTTTTGGGTAGAAGCTTAAACAGTTTTTGAGAAGCATAAAAAGTAGATTCTCTTCAAAAATACTTGTTTAAAAAATATGTTTGAGAAAAATATATTTTAAAATACTTTTTAAAATCTTGGCCAAATAACACTAATTGTTACTCAAAAATATTTTTAAAATTAATTAATAAAATAAAAATTGCTTCTCGACCAAAAACACTTTAAAAAAAGGAATAAGCTGATTATAGAAAGGAAAAAGGTCCAAAATTGCCCCTCTACTATGGTATATTGTTTACTTCTGTCACCCGTTATACTTTTCGTCCAAATTTATCCCTACCGTTAACAAAATTTGCAAAATTGCCCTAACCCTAATGTCCCTCCACTGTGGCACCCAACCCCTCTAATATTTTGTCCATGTCAGCAGCCAAGTCAGCAAGTCCCACTAATTAACCCACCCCTTTTCTTATTAAAATATTCTCATATTCTTCTCCATCTCTTAAGTCTTAACTCAAGAAACATGTGCCTACGAAAATACATCTCAGAGAACGATTTTCCGGCAAAATCGGCCTCTGACGACTTCTGGCCAGAATGACCAACGCCAAAAAATGTGTCAAGTATCACAATGCCAAAAATATGTGTCAAGTATCACAACCATATCTAATAAAGAAATAAACCAGCAAAACAGTTGCAAATAAAATGTCAAGACGTTGCTACCTACGACGACAAACGCCGAAGTAACTTCCGGCAAGATACTGGTGGTGGAGCTGCTTCTACCCCTTTTTCTTATTTTTGTACAGATCTATGTATGTGTGTGCGTGTTTTTCCGACTGCCGATTTTTAGGCCAGTACTGCTGTCACGACCCAAAAATTACACCTGTCATGATGGTGTCTATCTCAATACTAGGCAAGCCGACAACATCAATAACCCACATTTCTCTTTTAAATACTGAAAATATAATAATTAAGTTTAAGAAAAAATTTCCACAAATACTGGATATAAATACACTCCCAAAACCCGGTGTCACTGAGTATATGGGCAACTAAATAATAACAAAGTTTGACTGCTAAAAATACTGTCTAAAAATTTAGAACAGTACAAAATGAAAAGGGAAGAGAGTCAAGGTCTGCGGACGTCAAGCAGCTACCTTGATAATCTCCAACAGATAAAACTCCGAGAACTAGCAGTCGCCGTATCTGGAAGCACCTGGATTTGCACACGAGGTACAGGGTGTAGTATGAGTATAACCAACTCAGCAAGTAACAATACTAAATAAAGAACTGAAAGTAGTGACGAGATTCACAGCTGAGTCCAATTACAGTAATTTCCAACATAACAAGGTAGGCATGTTTTCAAGTTCAACATTTAAGGTCAAAACAGTAATTTCATGTCATGTTCAACTGAAACATAAGATAATATCTCTAAAAAATATTCAAACAGTGATATATGACAGCTGAAGTGCAACAATAATAAAATTAAATGCATCCTCTCAGGACCACAGTCACTCGGCCCTTCCACATGTGTGGTTGTTGGCTTAGCTAGGGCTTTGGTCATTGCAACACGTGATTTGTGTTTTAGGTGCACGATAGGGGTTCAAATTTTACTGCAAACAATAGTCTGACATTTACATGGTGAAGGACAAAGGGGTGGATTCATTATCAACTGAGTTACCAAGTTTCTAATTGTTTGCCACTAGTCCTTGAAAAATTCTCAGTTATAAAGAGAGAAAAAAACACAGCTTGTAACACAATTGTCACGGCGTAGTAGTAGAGTGAGTCTATATATAAAGTGTTATTTGTATATCATATCCTTTTACAATTTATAATTTAAAAAAAATATATTTTTAAATCTCTTATGCGTAAAAGATATATCTATTACATATAAAAGTAGATCTATTATATGTAAAAAAAAAAAATGATCATAAAACTAAAAATAAGTTTATAAATTTTATAAAAAGCTACAAAACCACTATATTGTACCCACATGATAAAAGTCTCTAATGTAAGCTAATGTAATAATATAGGATTGCATAGAGGTAGTAGTAGTACAAGTCCCAGTCCACCGCATACGAGGATGGTGGTCCCAATGATTAATGAAACGTGTCCAACCGAAAGCACTGAGGGGCAGACATAACTTAAAAGTTATAGCTAGATTCACTTAACTTTAAATTTTGAAGTCACCTTTAAAACTACGCTATCTCCAAAGTATGTGTGAAGTAAAAAAAACACACGTGTATTGTGTGTGTAGTAAGAATGGAGAATAAATTGGCGGTAGCAATACCAAACCAAATACGACGAATAGTGAGCTGAGCTGAGCCTTAGCTAAACCTTGAAAATCTTAATGTCATGATACTTTTTAAATTCTCCTAACTATTCTCCTATTGCAATAATTCTTGTTAAGAAGAATTCTCGTGCTAGTTATATATAATGTACTTATGTAGGCTAGCTTTCATGTGGTTCCCTGATGTAAATGTGATTAAAGAGAGTTGTCGTCGTGCAACGCTTGATCCGGATGCATCTTTGTTTACCCGAAAAATCGGATAAGGTTAAATTTAGATATGGTTCTAAGGGTATGCAAATTTTTTTGATACAAAATGACAATACATATATTTTTTGCTATGAAATGGGAGTGATGAATGGGAAGACTGAAATGAATTAGAAAAACAAGCACAATCAAATCTTAATGTATCTTGGAGAACCTATCTCTATTGCAGTCTATCTCCCTTTTTATACTAGAGGGTCACTGCTTTTTTTATAACAACATAATAAAATAATACATATAGTGGAGAACCCATAATGGTTTGTCACTTCCTTGATTCCCGCCAAGATTCTCTCCCTTGGTGCGGTTGTAACGGCTCTTGTCTGCGAGCTTGGCACTGACTCGAGCTCGGTGTTAGATCGAATCCCCAGTCTTGGTTCGAGCTCGGTTCTGCCTTGGAGCATCGATATTCGAGGCCTGTGTCGATCGGTGTTGCCCCGTAGTCCGATTTGGACACGGGCCCGATAATGATATCGAGTTTTGCCGTTGATTGGTCTTATAACTCGAAGCTCGACGTCTCTACTTCGAAATTCGTCCGAGCTTGCCATGTGGATACCCTTCGATTGAAACGTCATTGTCTCGACCGGTCTTTATGACTGAGAATCGGTTTTGACCGTACACAATCTTATTTAACATATATAACTTAAAAATTTAGTTAAATATCAACAAATATTTAATGG